AAAGGAGAGAATAACCAAAAAGTGGTCCTAGGTTATGAAATTCATCCAAAATAAATAGAGTCTGTAAAAGTGGCTAAAATGCAAGTTTTTATGGGTTAAAAGAGGCTGCAAGATATTCCAAAGAGATCCTAACAACTCAGCTTTTATTTTGCACGTTTTTGCCTTATTTGGCACCTCCAAATCATGCTAGAAATCCCCATTGCTTTCCCATTCTACTCTTAGTCTTCAAACAAGCCAGGTTCGCCTTGGATTCTTTATTTGGACTTCAAAACGGGTCACGAAACTTGTTTCCAAGTTTGAATAAGGGTCAGCTCCAAAAATAGCATGTTTTCATTTCTTTTGCCTTCAACTTGATCTTAAAGTAGATGCAACTGCATACTAACACAAAATAGGGTAAAACGCAACAAGTTTAATTCAAAAACATCACAAATAGACTAGAAATGGATGGTATAAATATATAAATATATGAGTTATCAATATGTCAATTGCCAACGAGGTGATATGAAATTGCATTACTCCTAGGCAATTGTATTTTTGTACTCCAATATATCACCTTCTACATATCCAGTATAATTCTGAGGCATCACGAAACTCTTTCAATGGTTATTCCCAGCCTACTGACTTTAATGACAATTTTACAATTTTGAATAAAGTTACCCACCCATAGAAATTAAATTCATATTACATTTTCAAAAATTAATTTAAAGAGGTAAGGTCAGGGTTTAGCAAAACATAGGTCATATTACGCAATCCTAATTTTACAAAAGGTTAGGATTTATCAAAAGATAAAATGAGATTCTTCAATACTATCCTTACAAAACTTCAAACTCAGTGCTAGGTTAAATTGGTTGAATGCAGACTATTCTATGATGTTGTCTCCATTATAGCCTCACAAAGTAGTGGTACACATTTATAATATTCCTCACCTCAAACATGATTAATATTCTAGAATTTAGGGTTTAGGAATGTCATATATATTTTCTGCTTTCTTATCATATATATTTTTTAGACATGGATGTCATATATATATATATATATTAGGAATATATTTTCTGCTTTATCATCGTATTGTGATATGCTGCCCTTTGAATGCACCTTGCATAAATTGCTTTCATAATTATTGGCTTACTTTAGTCACGGCATATAATATGTTAAGGTTTCGCTTAATTTCTTATTTTTTTCTCCTTCGATAATAATATGGCTAGGAAATAGCACACTGTTAAATCATTTATTTGCTACCAACTATAGGGAGATGAACACTTTTAGAGGAAGAAAGATTCTTATAATGCTCAATATGAAATTAGTCATCTTTCTCTTGTAGTGATATGTGATATGATGCCCATATACTTTTTTAGTTTTCATCAAATTTTGCTCATCCTTGAATTTTATTGTCTTTACCAATTCTCTGTTCATATTCCATAACATCAAATAAATAAGAAGATAATCCATTGGGAGTTGTACATGTTTCCTAACTATGTGGAAATGAACCGCTAGAATTTGTAAGCAAAAGTCTATTTCTTTTTCACTTATTATTATAATAATTCACTCTATATACAATAGGGAGTACTCCGACAATCAATAAACTCATTGCTTAAGAGTGCAAAGGAAAGATTGTTGTATAGATTAGATGTTGAAAGTCATGTACACAATCAACCTGTTTCTACCCAAACCCATGGGGAAACCCGATAGCTTGCTCAAGTTCCAGGTTGCAGAATGCACACAAGATTATTAAAAGTGGAACATACGGGTCAATCAAATCTATACTATATTAGGGGTGGGCACGGTTCAGGTTGGACCGGCTTTTGCCCCAAATTAGAACCGATCTGATACTATGCATCCGGTTTGGTTCAGTTCGATTTTAATAACAAAAATTCAAAAACTGTGTGATTTGGGTTGAACCGATTCTGGTCATATTCGGTTTTGAACTGGATTATAAAAATTAATTTTTAATACAATTCTCAACTGAAATATTATTATTATTACTTGAAAATTAACAAATTATTCAATTTCATAGAAAAATAAATATTAAAGTTAGAAAAGAGAGATATATTGAAATTGAACTTGGAAAAATATTAGTTTTTTTGCTGTTGTGAAATTAAAAATATAGCATTAAGTATAAATATATATTGAAATTATATATTTTTCAATTTGATCAGTTTGGTTTGGCCCGATCCGATTTTGGAAGACATGGAACCGGATTCAAAATCAGTCCAAACCGGTTCGGTTCAATTTTTGACCAATTGTTGACTTTTTAGTGAACTCGATTTTTTTCTGATTTGGTTCGGTGTGGTTTGGCTCAAATTTCCAATTCGCCGGTTTAAGTGCCCACCCCTATACTATATGGATGAGGAGCTAATTTGGCCTAAGAGATTTAAGGGAACAATAGTGGAACATATGGGTCTCCAATATGAAGCACGTTACCATATGTTCTTAAGAAATGAAAAAAAAATATATAACTACTAACTTGTTAAATGCCAATTACTCCTCCGGATATATGGACATACCGAAGTATGGATTAGTGAGGATATGTGCACTCTTACTTTAACGGAACTTGGTATAAGTTTTCAAATTTGGATTTATCATAATCAACTAGTATATCTTTCATTTACCTGTATCTCCACTATGAAGTAAACTATATTTCGTATTAATCTTCTAACTTTGTTTTCATAGATATATCATGTTATTAATCATTTCCTCTAACAAATATGGTTATATTTCTTCAAGAATTTTCTAAAATGTGGCCAGTAACCTTTGATGTTGATGAATTTGTCTGAATGATCCGCCCCTTTTTCCTTCTGAAGACAATCCATGAGGAATTGTAGATGTTTCTTAACTATGTGTTACTTGACATTTGTTGTGGATGTGTAGCTCGTGCAATCTTATCTCCCTTGGTTTTTTTCAATCCAAACGAATGGTCACTACTACAAAAATTGGAAAAGAATATGGGGAATCGTCATTTGTGTGTCTCTAAAACCATCATAGTTGCAATCACTATCTTTTCATAAGCCAACTATGACAGGGTCATCTTTCAACATTATTGTAGTATTGGGTAACTTCTTCTTCTTCTTCTTATTCTTCTTCTTTTTTTTTTTTTTTTTTTTCCATTCAAGTTTAGTGGGACTTTATGAGTAAATAATTGAAGGATTTTTAGCCATTTTGCCTCTTGAACTATTAGGCAATTCGAACTTACCGCCTTAAATTATTTTGTCTGCCGATTTAGTCCTTTTACTTATAATAAATATTCAATTTCACTCTTACTGTCAAGTTTTTCTAATTTCATCCACTTTTTTGTTAATAATAAGAAAAAAATTCATAAATTTAAAACAAAATATAAATTAAACCCCTTTAAAAATACAAATTAGATTTTTAAAAGTTAAAAGAAAATCAACAAAATGGACAAACACCCCGCCAACCCCAAATCCCTTTTCCCTCCATTTTCTCTCAAATGGCTTCTAAGCTACAATGAAGAAGAAAGATCTAATGTACTTGACTCTCTGACCCTTTTTAACTTGAGCATCATGAGTGGAAGCTTCATGTCCTTAAAAACTTAAAAATCATATTTCAATTTAAAGCAATGGGTCTCTTTTATTTTTATTGTTCTCAATGTTAAATTTAATTTCATCCATTTTGTATCAGTTTCAAAGCAATGGGTCTCTCTTAATTTTCATTTTTTAATATACAATTTTTTTGGTTTTGGGTGTTTCAATGAGGCTTGTGGGAGGGTGCATGGTGTGTTTTACAGGAACTAGGCGATTGAGAATGTAACCTACTCCTAAAACCCAAGAAAAATACTCGAAGCTCTCTCCCTCTCCACTCTCCACTCTCCATATTTTTTCCACACCGCTTTGCCCACCACACACAGCTTCGGCCACCCGGTTCACACCATACATACATCTTCGTACCCTTTTGTTAACTATTATTTTCCTACAAGCACTCGAACTAACTTAGGCATCGAAGGGCTTTTGGCCAACACCCGCCAAGTGTGGTCTATTTACTCCAGTCTTTTTTACAGGAATCGAGGAAGAGAGAGAAGGAAGATCAAAGGGCGAAGGATCTAGAAGAGAATATTCTCCTGCGATATTATTTGCACAAACAGTAGACCCACTTGTTGTGGTTATTGGGCTTAAGGTCTTTCCTAGCATTGAGGACCTTGACACTAGATTCAAGTGCAAAGGGTCTGATCCTTAGAGGAGGATGAGGAGGAGAACAACGGAAAATCACCCATCGTTTTGAAGGAGGTTGAAGAAGACAAGGAAGAAAGGACCATATTGCCCTCAAAATAAGAAGCATGTGCGCCCTCACGTGATTTTTTTGATGGCAATTTGGACGAAATTGCCTCAAATTTAATGGCAAGTGTGAAATTGACCAAAAAAATAATTGATGGGGATAATTCGAATAACGTGATAATTCAGGGGGGAAAACAACACTTTAAATTTTAAAAAAACTCACATATGCCACCCGGGTTAAATTTAGAGAAAAAAGCCCAATAATCATTTAAATGTATGAATTAAGGGAGAGACTACAATGAGGAATTTAAAGTGATGATGCTATTTGAGGAAGCCAATTCCACCATCAAAATATTTAAAATATTTAAATTTTATAACTTCTTTACATTTGTTGACAGTGAAATTCCTTCTCAAATAACCTCCTCATTAGCCTCCTGAATCCTGATGAATGGAATACACAGCCGGGCGTAGTCGTAATTTTCCATAACTACTTTTGTCATTGGTTGTTCAACTAAAATAACTAGTTGGGTGAAGAGTCAAGCAACAATTATTCACGAGGTGACGCGTGCTCCATGCTTGCTTAACGTACTTCGCCACTTCACAAAATGGACTCATATCGGGTCCTTCCAGATTCTGAGGAAAACAATTGGCTATGAAACTGCCATGTCAGCATCACTCCCTTCCACCTCAGGATTTTCAAAGATTCCATTAAAAAAATCCAACTTTTTTTTTTTTAATAATATATATTTATTTTTTTACCCTGACCTCATTTTCCTCTGTTTCATATTTAGCCCAAAGCAAAGCTGAGTTGCATTGCGTTGCATGTTCAATGGCTCAAATTCAATTACTATCCCCTGGGTTCTCTGAAGCTCTCAAATTCCAAAACCCATTACCAAATGGGTGCTCAAGAAGCCCACGGCGCATGTTAGTTAAGACCAGCAGCAGTCTATCTTTGATGGGTCATGGCGGGAGGAGGCCAAGAGGCTTTGGCAGGGTCAGAGTGGCAACCGGAGGCTCACCTTCAACTGACGCAGTGGCTGATGACTATTACTCGGTCTTGGGATTGGTATTTCTCTTAATTGATCTGGGTTTTGTTTAAACATGCAAAATATTATACTTAGCCAGGCTTATATTATATGTCTGTTTAATTTGATTATGAAGTTTATGATATTTTACACTTCACATTAGTTCGATTTTTCTGGGAAAATTTTCTTTCTTTTATGATTATAATGGTTGTGTTGAATTTTAAAAAGTTTGGGTTTTGTGCAATGCTTTGATTTTGTATTTATCATGTCTGATCATTGATTGGTATGTGTTACTAGCTTCCAGATGCCACACCTGCACAAATAAAAAAGGCCTATTATAATTGTATGAAAGCTTGCCATCCGGATTTGAGTGGTGATGATCCAGAGACCACAAATTTCTGCATGTTCATTAATGAGGTCTACGAGGTGGGTTTCCGTTTGAACTTGAATGCTTTGAACTCTGATCAATTATGTTGTTTTGTTTGGATATTTGTGCTTTCACTGGAAATAAAGCATTGCAGTGCAGGTGCTCAGTGACCCCGTGCAACGAATGGTTTACGACGAAATTCATGGTTATGCATTGACGGCAGTCAATCCTTTCCTTGATGACTCAACAACAAGGGATCATGCATTTGTTGATGAGTTCAGCTGCATAGGTAAGTTCAGATGCTGAGATATCATCCCATTCCCATGCATAGAGATAATTGGATCTTTCTTTTCTTGAACATTAATTATATCTGGTAAATGAATGCTTGAACATTATTGCCTACTGTGAAATGGGGCTAGATGTACGACTCCTTGCAATCTTTGAGTACTGATATTGGTAAGAACTTTATAACGTATATTTCTTTGCAGGCTGCAAAAATTGTGCCAATGTGGCCCCGGATGTCTTTGGAA